CTGCCGCGGCCTCGGGGAGCAGCTCTCGCAGCATCTCGGTGCCCGCTCGGGCAATTCCTCCCTGGACAGGGGCGACCAGGCGCGTGGCTCGCAGTGGAGGACGTTTGGCACCGAGGACGATCTGTGCTCCGTGCCGTACTCTGGTAACGCCTCATCAGGCATTAGTATTATCCCATAACCCAGACCAACCCCGAAACGTGAGCTGAGGCCGCGGTGCTGCAGCAGTCGGGCGACCAGGCGCGTGGCTCGCAGTGGAGGACGTTTGGCACCGAGGACGATCTGTGCTCCGTGCCGTACTCTGGTAACGCCTCATCAGGCATTAGTATTATCCCATAACCCAGACCAACCCCGAAACGTGAGCTGAGGCCGCGGTGCTGCAGCAGTCGGGGAAGCCTCAAGCGAGGGCTCCTCTTCTCCCTCAGAGATCTACACCATCCAGGGCAACTCGCACGGGAAGCCGTGCACCATCCCCTTCAAGTACGACAACCAGTGGTTTCACGAGTGCACGAGCACGGGGCGGGAGGACGGCCATCTCTGGTGTGCCACCACCCAGGACTACGGCAAGGACGAGCGGTGGGGCTTCTGCCCCATAAAGAGTGAGTCGAGGGGGACACGTGCCGTGGGGGAAAAGCAGAAGACCCTGTGTCCGTCCCTCCCGGGGGCTTTCCTACCTCTTATCTTCCTTCCCTCCTCCTGCGAGCAGTCCATGGTGCCGCAGCAGCGAGGTTTATTGGGGTTTTTGGGGCTTTATGGGGTTATTGGGGTTTTTGGGGGTTTTTGGGGTTTATGGGGATTATTGGGGGAGTTTGTTTTGGAGCCAGGGATGGGGCTGTGTTGGGTGCTCACCCTGCTCATCCTCGCAGGCAACGACTGCGAGACCTTTTGGGACAAGGACCACCTCACCAACAGCTGCTACCAATTCAACTTCCAGTCGACGCTGTCATGGCGGGAGGCATGGAATAGCTGTGAGCAGCAAGGGGCCAACCTGCTGAGCATCACCGAGATCCACGAGCAGACCTACATCAACGGTGAGGCGCTGGAAGCCCAACTCTGCTTGTCCTCACCCGGGGCATTGCTGGTGGCACCGTGGCCATCACCAGTGCCAAGTTGCTCTGCCTGCCCTGGGTGGTTGGTTTGGGGATGGTGACTGGCTGGGATCAAGCTGGGGTTAAGGGGACTGATCCTGCCCCTCTGGCTGTGTGGCTGCCAGGGCTGCTGACGGGGTACAGCTCCACGCTCTGGATTGGGCTCAACGACCTGGACATCAACGGAGGCTGGCAGTGGTCAGACAACTCGCCCCTCAAGTACCTCAACTGGGAGAGTGGTGAGAGTCGTGGCGGTGATGGGGGTGCTGGGGAACAGCCTGCCACCACTGGAGGTGGCCCTGTGGCAGGGGAGGTGGCCCAGGCTGGTGCAGGGTGTCCCCTCACTGCCTGGGGACAGAGAGCCTTGTGGGGCTGTGGAGCAGCCTAGGATGTCTGTGGAGCTGGAGGGGGGACACAGGGTGCTGGAGGGGGAGTTATCCCTCTGCAAACCCTTGGCAGCCCTGCGGATAACTTGGGGTAAGCATCCTTGTTGGGAAGGTCGATGCATCCCAGCTCTGTGCTGGAGTGTGGCTGAGGGGTGGTCCCCAGCTGCAGCCCACCAGCTCTGACCCCGGGGTGCTCAGGGACCCCTTGCGAGGGCAGCTCTGGTCGTGCCTGGTGCTGTCACCCAGAGGCACTCGTGGGGACAGTGGTACCCTCGCAGGAGGTTTGGGGACAGGCGGGAGCAGTTCAGGTCTGGGGCTGTGACCCCCCGACTGTCGTTGATGTTTCCGGTGAACCAGTGATGCTCCAAATTGTCGTGTGTTGAGGCACAGTAAGCAGCCCCGGGCACGCGGGGTCCGTCTGTGTCGTACCCAAATAACAAAATAAATGGGATTTTAGTGGTGTCGGAGCCGGGGGAGCAGCACCCTGCCGGCACCTGCCCTCCCGTGGTGCCCTGCCCGGGTGAGCAGTGGTGGTGGCTCTGCCCCAGGGCCTCAGCAGCGTGTCCCCCTATTTCCAGACCAGCCTGACAACCCCAGCGAGGAGAACTGCGGGGTGATCCGCACCGAGTCGTCGGGGGGGTGGCAGAACCGCGACTGCGGCATCGCCCTCCCCTACGTCTGCAAGAAGAAGCCCAACGCCACCGCTGACCCCTTCCTCACAGGTGGGCGGGGGGGCGAGTAGCACCGGGAATGGGTGACCCCGTATCCTGATTGGGCGTGCCCCCATCCCAACATGGGCACGGGATGCTGCCCGCGGGCTGGAGCAGCCCGTGGAGGTGATGCGGGCCGGAGCAGCCCGTGGAGGTGCCCGTGGTGTCCCCAGTGTGGCGGTGCGCTGGGTGTGCGGAGCAGGGATTGAGCTCCCCGGGGGTGCCAAGGTTTGGAAAAAGTCCTCCCAGAGGAGCATCACCCCAGGAGTGCCTGGGGCAAGAACCAGCCGGGCAATGGGGCAGGAATTGGGAGGAGCGGGCGGGCACCCGTGGTCCCCAGGGATGCTCTCTGCTCCGCTCTGCCATCACTCCTCTGCAAACAAAAGGGATTTTGTTTGTCCCCGGAGCTCTCAAGGAGCTGCCCGCACCTTGCTGTCCTGCGTTATGTTTTGGCTGTCACCCCAGGAGTGCCTGGGGCAAGAACCAGCCGGGCAATGGGGCAGGAATTGGGAGGAGCGGGCGGTCACCCGTGGTCCCCAGGGATGCTCTCTGCTCCGCTCTGCCATCACTCCTCTGCAAACAAAAGGGATTTTGTTTGTCCCCGGAGCTCTCAAGGAGCTGCCCGCACCTTGCTGTCCTGCGTTATGTTTTGGCTGTAGCTTCCCCACTGCTGCTTGGGCTTGGTCTCCTGAGCACCCAGTGGGTCCCTGACCATGGTCCCCTCCCTGCCCGGGAGCGGGTTGGGGAGTGGGACGGGAGCCCTGAGGGTCCCTCATGTCCTGCCAGACTCGTGGTCGGAGGTGAAGGTGGACTGCGAGCCCAGCTGGCAGCCCTTCCAGTCCAACTGCTACCGCCTTGTCGGAGAGAAGAAGAGCTGGCAGGAGGCGAAGAAGACCTGCCTGCGGAGTGGGGGGGACCTGGTCAGCATCCACACCCTCTCCGAGCTGGAGTTTGTCACCAAGCAGATCAAGCAAGGTAAGGGGGAGCCCGCTGTGCCCGCAGCACCCTTCCTCTCCCCTTTTTGGGGTCTGCGGGAAGGTCATTTGTGTGTGATAGGGACTGCAAAGTGGAATTGATGGGTGGCTGGGGAGGGAGTGGAGAGCCCAGGCTGGGGGCGACGAGTTGTTTGGAGGAGGCCATGCCCTGGGCACATCCTCTGTCTGGCAAATATGAAAGCTGTTCCCGGGAGCCTGCTGTGCCAAGGCAGAAAATATGTAGCTGCAGCTGGGAATGGTGCTACTCCTGGTTGGCAATGTAGAAAAAGATGGGGGAAAAAAATCCTGCTGGGGGAGGCTGCATCTCTGTCTGCTTCAATCTGCCTGGGACAGGAGTGTCCCCTGCAGCAGCGAGGGGGAACGCTTGCCCGCAGCGTCCCAGGCGTCTCTTTCCAGTTCTGACTTCACCTGGGTGTAATCGGGTTGAAGTTTCCCACGTCGGGCTGTGTCGGAGCTGGGATGGTACTTGGGAAGTTTCAGCCCAAGCAATCACACGGGGTGGTACGGGGGAGCACCCGTGTCAGCAGCCTCCAGACCCTGCTTATATGCCGCCCCTCGTTAGCATCACCTTGGGTGGGCTTTTGCTGACTTGGGGGTGTTGGGTGATGAGAAGCTCACCAGGAGCCGGCACCGTGCACTGGCAGCCCAGAAAGCCAACCGTGTCCTGGGCTGCAC